AGAAAGCTACATCAAAAAACTATATCAAGTTCTATTTAAATTATGGGTTCACAGCAACAGGTCACATTCTCCAAGCTACTTTGTATAATATGTGACAACTGGCTGCCCGATAAAGCCATGAAACCTACAAACCTCCTTCACCACATGCAGACCAGGAATCCTGCATTAAAAGCTTTCAAAAGAGAAAGAAATGTGAACACAAAGAACAGAAGCAATTATTAAATGGTACCACTCCATCAAATGTGTCTACACTGACAGCATAATTCTTGATGGCTCACCACATTACTAAAGCTAAGAAATCTTTTACTGCTGGAGAGTGGGTCCTATCTGACACCAAGGACATTTGTCATGAACTCTCAAAAGGTGGTGGGTGTTCCTCTTTTGACTAATACAACTAGATGAATTGATGGAATAAAGAGGATACTGAGACACAGTTGTTAGTCAGGATTAATGAGTCGCCATAGTACACAATCTGGGTTGAGAAGTCTACCCATGTTGCCAACGAAAGAAACAGTGGTTGTTTTAGTGTGGTATATTTTTCAGGTGGATGTGCACGGGGTATGTTATGCATATTTTTGTTGTCACCCAGTACCACAGCTTCATAATTATTTGTCTTTGAACTTTTCCTTACATGTTAGGAAAAGTGAATTTCGTATCAAAATATGCATGGACAGAGTAGCTGCCATGACTGGATGGCTTTCTAGTTTCACTACTCAGGTCAAAGAGATTGCTTAGGAATGTAATTATATGCACTATACCATCCACAGACATGTGCTAGTTAGCCAAAAAATGTACCTGAACTTAACATTTTGCAGGATATGATTAAAATTATCAACTGCATTATAGAATATGCCCTTAACTCATGTCTGTTTCACAGGTCTGTGAGGAGATGGACCCAGAGTACACATATCTCTTATACACAGAACTGAGATGCCTTTTTCACTTCTCTGACCAGTAGATTGCTGGTCAGTTTTTGAGTTACAAGAGCCACTCTAGAGATTTCTTTTAGAATAACAGTCACCACTGGCAGCACATTTCAGTGACACATAATGGGTCAAAAACCTTACTTGTGTGAAATATTCAACCTGTTCAATGAACTAAATCTGTTATTTCAAGGAAGAACAATAACTATGTTTAAATTGGCAGATTTAGTGGCTACATTCGAAGCTCAATTGAATTATAGGAGTGACAAGTGAACATTAGGCATTTGGACATGTTGCAAACATTAGCAGAATTTGAAAGATAAGGAGCCAGGACTTTCTTTTTTCCCAGCTGGTGCATGATCACCTACCTCAGCTTTAAAGAGAGTTTGAGAATTACTTCCCAACCACCAAGGACCCTTGAACTGGGAAGGAATGGATCTATGACCTGTTTGTGAGCAAGCCAGGTGCTTTGACTTTGTCCATGCTAGAAGAGGATCAACTTTCTGAGATTGGAAATGATGGTGACCTTAATAGCATATGTGAGACAACTTCAAATCTTCATAAATTCTGGGTTAAAGTCAAGGCAGAACATCTTGAGATTGCCAAAAACCACTGAAAAATCTTCTTCCTTTTCTAACATCCTATCCTTGGGGTTTTCTGCAGTGTCAGCATCCAAAATGAGATTACGGGGGAGACAGGACATGAGCAAAACACTTTGAGCGTCCCTATCTCTCATCACCCAAGGATGGGACCATCGATTTGCAGCCAAACACACTCAATGCAGACTGATTCTGCATTGTGGTGAATTATATCACTTTTTCATAACTGTATTGATAATAGAAATAAAGAGCGTGATAAATATAATTGTCTGAATCATCCAAAAACCACTCCTTCCCCCACCACCTGTAGAAAAATTGTCTTCCGTGAAACTGGTCCCTGGTGCCAAGAAGGTTGGGGACTGCAGATTACATGAACTTTTATGATGGCTTCTTTTCCTGGGCATAGTGATTTCCCAGCTCATCTATCTTAGTAGTCAGTACTTGACTACTTTTAGTAACCAAGGGATAGTTTATTGTATGGATCTTCATAATGTGTTTATCTATTTGAGTCCCTGTTTGCAGTTCCTCTGGATACACAGTTGTTCCTTCGTATTCTTGGAGGACTTATTCTAGGAGTCAAATCTGTGGGTGATCAAGTCGCTTATACAAAATAGTGTGGCATTTGCTAAGAATGCTCAGACATTCTCCCATATCCCTGAAATCACGTCTAGGTTACTTACAGTACACAGTACAATGCAAATGCTGTGTGAAGAGTTGTTTTTGTGTGTTGTTTAGGATACAACGAGAAGAAAAGGGTTGCACATGTTCAGCGTGGATGCAATCCCCACTCCCTGTACTGTTGATCCATTGTTGGCTGAATCAGCAGGTATGAAACCATGGATATAGAGGGCTGACTGAGTTACTAAGACTGGGAATTGCTGGCTCATGAGGTAAATGTATGTTTAAATTTTTGTGAAATCTTCTTAGAGTTATCGGTAGCTTGTTCTCCTCTACTTCTATTTAAATGTTGGCATTGCTTGAGGTTCAATCCTACATTGTCCCCTCTTTTCTCATTTAGTACTCTACCTAAAAGCCTCTCACATATACTTATGGCTTTAATTACCGTGGATATGCCAAGGAGTCCCAGACCTCTGCTCTAAACTATATTCCAACCTGTCAACTGCCTAACTGACACCCGCCAGACTCTCTGAGCCATTAGTTTCAGAACTGGACTCATCTGTGACGTACAGACAGCCCCACCATCCATGTGGTCACCCCAGCCAGGAAAATGGGCATCATTTTTGACCACCCCTTTCCTTTCCTGTCCACCCCCCAGCCCTCTTGACCTTCCCTCTATTTGACCCTTTAATTTGTTCACTTCTGTCCTCACCATCTCCTCTGTATTCCTATAAATACACTTGCTTAGCTGTCCACATCAGCCAATTTCTAGTCTCTTTATCTATAGACATGGTTCCCCCATCAACTCTTCATGCCATAGTAAAGGGATTCATTAAACAAGCAGATTGGGTCATAGCACAACTAGCTTCTCCGCTAGGAGAATGTACAGCAGCATGTGTGATCCCAGCTGCACATTTCCTCTTTGCAGTCTCTCTGTGAGTCACTCCTCTCTTCCCTCGGGCCACACTGGCCTGATTTTGCCAGATGATCTCCCCCATCGGGTTTCAGTCTGGATGTTCTCTCTGCCTGGGACACCAGGAATCCCTCCACCTCTCTCAGTTCTCATCTCCGTCTTCCTAGGGAACCTCTGGGACTCTGGTCTTCATCATATTTGTGTAATTATCAATGGGGTTCAGGGCACGACACCCCAAAATATGAATGTGGGAAGAATGTGCTACTCTAAAATAGTCCTCTAAGGCGTATTTGTCATTTTGAGCTGACTGTTTTAACAAACCACAGACACAGCTCCAAAGATGGCTTGTTTGTAAGAGAAATTTGCCTCTGGGAAGGAAGTCTCCATGTGTAAGGGTGTATCCCTTTCTGTAAGAGGGGGAGAAGGATGGCTAAATTAATAGACTCTGATCAACAGAAGACACCCGCTTCAAACCTCGTAACAAACCTTCACTGCCCTCCTCTTCCCATCTAGTCATAACCGGGCTTTTCCCTTCGCCTTCCCATAATTTACCTTCATCACTGCCTACAGGAGCCAACCCCATTCCTTGTTGCAGTTTAGGATGGTACATGAGCCTTAATCATTGGGCTGCCTCTTTGAAACCCGTGCAGTTAAACTTTCTCTTTTCCTGGTTAATCTATTTTATGCCAATTTAATGCATAGACTGACCAGTCAAAGAATGTAGAAAGTGGGAGAAAGCAATTTTTCCTCCTCTATATTAATGTCTTCTTTTCTCCTGGACTATAAGCTTTTGTGGGGTCAGAGCAATGTCAGTTTTTTCCCTGTTCTGTAAGTTTTGATGTACACACTGACTGCTAGAAGAGTGAGTACTGTCCAGATCACTGTTAAATTATCATTAACAAGAACTTCTGGAGCTCTAATTAAAAACTGACTTCATATTTTTCCCTTGCCATCACTCTACTTTTCCCCATTCTTAGAACAGAAATGTCCTTGAAAATCAAGCTTGGAAGGAAACAGAAACAGGGAGGAAAGCCATTTGGCTGGATCCCAGAATTCTGTCAAGGACAACTACTTTTCACACTCCGTTCTAGGTGGGAAACCAGCTTCTGAGAGGAAGGAGGGGGTCTCTAAGCAGGAGTTATAAAGAGTAGAGCACCCTTCTCACTCTCCTCATACCACAGGGAAAAGACTGCACTCCATTCTCCACACAGCTGTGTACTACACCTTACCCTCTCAGAATGGCTCTGGCTTTCCTCTTTATAATTGTCTGTGCTCTTCATTTGGGAATACTTTTGGCAAAAAGGGGGGCTGTGACAAACCTTTTGTGAAAGAGAAGTGAATGAATGAATAAGTAAAATTAATGAATAAATATAGAGAAAAGTAAGGATGGAGCTGTCAGGGTCCCACAGCGTGGACGGGTAGAACACAGTGCAATTTTCCCCAAGTCTCTTTGAGATGATTCTAACGGCCAGGTCTCCGCAGAGCTGAGCTCCACATACAGAGCCCAGGTCTCAGCCACTGCTTCTTATTTCCCCTGAGTCATCCCCAGAGGAGCTGCAAATGATCTGGATGTAAATGATTCTAATCCACACACTAAAGTACTAAAAAGATTTGAGAAAAGTAACAGCTTAGCTCCTCCCAGGTAAAGTCTATGTGGTCGGCAGCAAGAGAGGAGGAGCCCTGTACACCAGGAAGCACCAACCCGGAAGATTGAAAAAGTAGAAATCAAACGAATTTTAAGTTACATTAAAACTAGCACCTGCAGATCTACTCCAAGGAGACCTGGAGTCACACATTCCTGCCTCAGGGTATGTGGAACCCTCTCAGTCCCAGCTGAAGGGTGTTAACAGTGGGGAAGCTCACCAAATGTTTGACACCAAGTCAGGAAGTAAAGGTCTGAGTGATTCCACCCCTCCCCCCGCCATAGGCCGCAGCAAGAGAACTCACCCAAAGGCAGAACCACTGCAGATGACCTTCATTCCCTCTCTCTGGGTGGGCATGCAGGGTGTGATAGCCAGTCCTTGTGCATAGTTATGCTTCCATCTCACTGCAGCAACTGGGGTTGCTTCTAAAGGCAGCTGTAAGCATTTCTGTACTGGGCAACCACACACATAGGATGTGAGTGGTGTATGCATGTGTGGGGTTTTCCTTCCGGTTGCTGTGAGGTGATGTTGTCTCAGTTCACTTCCTGTCTGCGCCTCTTCTTTTTTTTCTTTGTGAGACCTTCTGATATGCTGAGGATACTTTGCAATTTAGGGATAAGTAAAAATCTACATGTTATAGGGTCCATTTATTTTTTCTAGAAAGCTAGGTGATCCATAAATTAATATTGCAATGAAATTCTGTTGAAATGTCTTTTTCTTAGTGGGATAAACTTTCCAGGCTTCATTGAAAAAAAAAAAAATGGGATATTTAAAAGCCAGCTGAATTGGGGTTTTGCATTTTTAAGAATCCAATTTGTTCTAGAGGGTTCTACAACACTGACATTTCTTTCATATGCCAAGTAGTCACTGAGCTTGTCTGCTGTAACCAGAACCAGGATCACTCAGGGCTTGGTACCCAAATGGAGACTCTCCTGTTTACAGTGTGGTACAAAAGCTTAGATCTGTGTATGTGGGAGAGAATTTGAAAGCCACACAGCCCATAAACCTTTGTTCTCTTCTGTAGTTTCTGGCAGCAGACAAGCAGACAGGTTTTGAGGTGCGCCACCAGGATTTGAACTAAGGTTCTAACTTTACACACTTTTGTCCTTTCTATGCCTAAGCTTCCTCATCTGTAAAAGGGGAACAATCATAGCAGTGTTGTGAAATTTAAATGATTTAGTGTCTGGCATGACTCAAACCAGTCCTGTGTAAGTGTTTGCTATCTTTTTAATGGCAAATTTTTACTATCATCAGCTGAAACTTTTGCTTTTTATCCTTCTCTTCCTCATTTTTCATTCCTTGCTGCTGCCTAGAAGATGACTTGGGCACAGAGTGGATTGAGAGGAGAGAGAGGTTTCAACATCAAATGCTGCACCAGTAACTCAGTGGTACCTTCTGTCCCTGCTTCCGCTCCTGCTTGCTCTGTCCCCAAGGCAGGGAAAGAGGTTCCTGAGTTCCACCTCATCACACGCAGCTTGTGTAGTGTGTTGTTTTCTTGGAACTTCTTTTCTTTTTTTGTTTTCTTTGTTTTGTGATGCTGGGAATTGTACCCAAGGTTTCGTGCATGCCAAAAGCACACACTCTACCACTGGGCATAAGCCAGCCCCTCTTTCATTGCTTGGTTTTAATTTCCTGAAAGATTTTGCTGAAATTCAGAACCATGTCTTTTCTACTAGGTGAACTGGCATGAGTCTTGCTAAACAATATTCTGCCCATCAAAAGATGGCACTTTAAACAAATAAAGAAATATACACTTGGCTCAAGACCTTGTACAATTGGAACTTAGAAATACATCAAGAGTAAATACATCTATATTAATCGTCATACACATGTTGCATCTATAGTGAAATTAGCAGAATTCATCAAGATAGTCTGATATATTCTTTCTCTCTTCCTCTCCCTCCTACAAAGCCAATCTTGAATATATGCTATGTATCAGAATCTCTTCTAGATTCCAGGGAGAAATATTCTATTTCTAAGTTATATTTTACAAGGCAGAGTTTTCATACTAAATTGATGGAGGTAGAAGAAAAGTCCAGAAAGTACATGTTTTACCTAAATAAATGCATTTTACATTATATCACATCAGACAAGGAATTACTTTCTTTATCAAGCATTTAATTTTGATGTATAATCTAAATGTATAGATTTTAGAAAATATAATTTACTATTTTATAATATGACTTGAATATTAATACCATCAAATTGTCTTTATAAGTCTTGATGGTCTAGGTATACTGAAAAAGCTCAACTTGGGCTTGTTTTGTATAAAGTACTTTAGTCTTGCAATTTGATCATCCTTAATTCTATTTTTTCACTTATGTGGCTTCTTTTCTCACATTACGCTGCCTGATTTTACTGCTGCTGAATTTTTGAGAATGGAGAGTTTGTACTGTAAGGTGATATGAGTAGCTAAAATTTTTATTTGAAAACAGATCAAAATCATTTTAGAAAAGTAAGTTAAATATTTTTCCCATTTGGAAGATGCAAGGATTCTGTGTCTGTTTTCTTACTTACAACTTAAATTTTTTTTCTTCTTCTTTAGTTTTTGTTCTTTTCCTTTTCCTATTTGATTAGTGGCAGGTTATGCTACATGTCAACCTTTTGACAAGCTACAGATGGGATGGCAAAAAACAAACAGCTATAATTTCTAATTACTCTGTCCAGTGAAGACAATGTTTACACTTTTTCTTCATTTAAACAGTCTTCTGGACTGCTTTAATTAGCTTCATGCCATCTTCCCTAGCTTAGTTAGCCCCTCACAAAATGGTTTATAAGTACCTGTTAAGCAGTAGCCAAACCCCAGGCAATTGCTCTGAATCTGTCATGGATGTTTGGTCTAAGAAACAATCATCACATGAGGTGGAGCCTGAGGGGTGGGGAGAGATTTAAAAAGCTGAGGAATCTGTAGCCAAGGTGTATATGTATATTTGTGATTCCATTTGTTTGACTCATTTCCTGCCACAGCTGTGGACAGTATTTGCCTTGGGGAATCAGCTGCCCACTAAAGAATCTAAATGAACATGCTCTAGTTGGTTTGGCAAGTTTTAAGAAGGAAGTTCTCTGGGATTTTAAGGCATGCCTCATCCCTGCTTGGGAATGGGAGTCCATCTTGTGATTTTCATTTTTCATGAGGAAATCAGAATTTTAAAAGATCCAGTTTATTTGTCCTTTCAATAACTCTATTGACCTAAAATTTCTCCTGAGAGTTCCTGGGTATTCTTGATACATCAGTCCACAAGGCAAAGGGCCACTCTCAGGAATCTAGCCCCTTAGTAGGAAAACTACCTAGTGGACAACAGTTTCCATCAACCGGTTCACTCTGGGATTTTAAAGGTATTATTAAATATGCAGTATGATAAGTGAAAAAAATGAATGAGAGCCAGCTCCTTCCCCAAAAGAGGTTACAGTCTAATAGTGTTGTGGTTTCCATGTGTCACTGGAAATCCACGTGTGAGAAACTTAATCTACAATTCCTGTCATGGTGTTTGGAGGTGGAGCCTTTGGGAGGTGAATAGGATTCCATGAGGTCATGAGAGTGAGACCCCCATGACGGCTTTAGTGGCTTTTATAAGACAAGGAAGCGATGGGATAGGCTAGTGGAAAGAAAACAAGGAAAATCATAACTTTAAAATTATATTTTGACCCAAACTGCAGCCTCAGGACAAAAATCAAAGTCACCCACCTTCACAACGTCTTTTTTTCCAACTGGGAAACTCATTCCAAGAATTCCTGAGAGCTTTAAAGACACAATAAGACTGTAAATTGAGCCTGTGCTTTAAACCTGCAAATTGAACCTGTAATTTTCCTCCTGCAGATGGCCCTATTAGGTGGTAAGCATATCTCTGATCTTCACACAGGCAAATGGCTTGCATTGCAACCTAGCCCACATCCTAGATGTCTTGCGGACACCCCAAGAACACATAAAAACTCCCAGCTGAGACCATAATGGACCTCATTTCTAACTCTCCCACTTCCTTTTTGAGTGTGTACTCCTTTCAGCCTAATAAATCTTTCTCTGCCTTTCCCTGATGCTTCCTGCCATTCTTTTCTGTGGCATAAGTCAACAGTCGTACAGTCTGCCCCGTGGGTAGGGTGTATAGGTCCCCATCTCTCTTGGTGACTCCATCTAGCAAGAGTGAGAGGCAGGCAGGGACGCTTGCTCTGTCTCACTGCATGATGCACCACAAAGCCCGTCCTCACCAGAGGCTGGAGCTATGCTCTTGGACTTCCCAGCTTCGGATCCATGAGCCAATAAACTTTTGTTCCCCCTAAATTACTCAATCTCAGGCATTTCATTATAGCACCAGAAAACAGGCTAAGACAAGAAAACATGGAAGAACGAGCCTCATGTGCCCTTTTCTATTATCTTACCCTTTGTGATCTCCCTTCCTTTCTTCTATATCTGAGCCCCTTGGTCTTTTGCCTCTTGCATCAGCAGAATCACAGTCTATCAGCAGAGTTCTGGAGTCTCCAGCCCTGGCATTGCCACAACCCATGGTAAGCCCCGTACAAGGTTGATTTCCTTGTTTTTGCTCTTCCGAGTGTTTACCTTGCACATGGGCAGATTAACCCACATTCTCTCCACAGCTCCCTGGATTCACTAGAGAAGTTAACAAAGACCAACATATTTCCTTCAAATTCTCCCATAATAATCTCACCTGAGAGCCTCTGCTCTGCAAGAACCTGCTTCCTCCTATCTCCCTGACTGCCTGCCAAGGCTTCTTCAGTATGTAAAACATAGACTTCGAGGTTTTCTCACTCTGGAAGCTCTGAGCTCAGCCCTTGCCTGACATTTGCCTGAGATGAGACCCCTTAATGTGAGAGCGCATCAAGGATCCCTCATGGTCCCTGCAGAATTTCTCTATTCCTTCCACCCTGCTCCTCACTCTCTGCCTATTCCTCCATCCTCTGTATTATAGCTTCAAGCATTACCACCTCAGGGACAGTGACAGCAATAGCTACCATTGTTAAGAGTGTATGTTCTTAGGTGGGAAATGACATTTGCAAAGCTGAAATCATTCTTCCAATTTACAGAATAGCTCTTTGAAGAAACATGAGTACTTGGAAGAGCAAAAAAAGGAAGACTGTTCTGATAAAAAGGCAATTGGTAGCAAATTTTAAAATATCCTGATTTCTTGGAAGCATTCTTTTCATTCAAGCATTTGCCAAGCACAAATTTTTTCATGACACATATCCTGCTCATGAAACCCCCACTTTGTTTGTTTTTATTAGTTTCTTGCTTTTTAAAAACATCAATATTGCCAGATATGGTGGCCTACACCTGTAGTCCCAGCACTTGGGAGACTGAAGCAGGAGGATCTCAGCAAGTTCAAAGCCAGTCTGGGCTAGATAGTGAGTTCAAGGGCAGCCTGGACTACATAGTGAAGCCCTGTCTCAAAAAAAATTGCTGTATCTAACATGATTACAAAAGAAATAAGATGTGAACATTTGCATTTAAGTATTAGTAAGTA